CAGTTATTAGCATGTTGACAGACTGTATTCTTATTGCTAGGAAGCATCTTCTGTCAAGGATGAGATGATAAACTGAACTGGTGCCAAAGCAGGGCTAGGAAAACAGGCTTGTTCTTAGAACAGTCTGTGTCCCCTGAGTCTGTGTTCAGAAAATTTGCTCTCCACAGGCCATATCATCCTCTTAAAATATTAACACTCGAGAGCGAATGAGGCTTGGAATCCCTGTCAGATAACGAAGTGGTGCACGCAGTAGGTTCTCAGCCAATGCTCGCTGGCTGCAGAAGCATGAATGTCCAGGAGAATGGAAACCCATGAGGAATGGCGGCTGGGGGAAGTCTGAACGCGGGATCCTTTTCCTCTAGTGGAGGAGCATTAGGCAATCGGTGATGGCCCTATGGATCGCTGAAGTCTAGAACAGTAAACTCTGCCTCTGAGCACACAGGTAGGAGAGAAGGGATAGACAGGTCCACTCACCCCAGGCAAAAATCCTTCACGCTCTAGGATTGTTGATTCTAGGATTTCCTTGAATAAGGGAAGGATTTTTGGTGAATGAAGTCAGCATACCTCAGTGATAATAATATAAAAAGGAGAAATTGGTTAGAAATTGCATCATGCTTGTTGGGCCTGCTCAGTTCTGTGTCCTGGGAAGGTTCTCTGGATAGCCAGCCTATGGCAGGGCCTCTACGAGATGAGGCTGGAAGGTGGGTGGTGATAGGGAATGGACCTGGCTAAGGGCCTGTGGAGGAGTCAACCCAGGCCACCCCTGACTCCAAACCACCATGTCTCCCTCCCCACTCCCTGCCCACCTCCACCGCAATTCTGTGGCCCTGAACCCTTGCCTGTTCTTCTGATCCTCGCAATCTTTCTCTGTCAACTTTCCACACAAAACATAAGCCAAGTCATGCAGTAACTGATTTCTTAATTGAATCTTAAAAATATATTTAATTGAAAAAGTACACTGAAGAAATGTGTGTAATACTCTTTACAGGAAATCCAAAAATGATGAAACTTAACAGGTATAGACAGTTACATGAACGCACAGAAAAACAGAAGAAATAAGAAAACGATTAGCTTTAAATGGTGGGACTCTCTGGAGTAAGGAGAGATGGGATCAGGGAAAAATGTAAGACAGTTTCAAAGACACTGACAATGGCTCAGTTTTTAAAGTTATGAGGCAGGGTCATTCTTCACAGATTATGTATGTAAAACATATATTCATTTGTATGAAGGAAATGTCCCTTTCTTCCCTCTCCCTCCCTCCCTCCCTTTCTCCCTCCATCCTTCCCTCCCTTCTTTCCTTCCTTCCTTCCTTCCTTCCTTCCTTCTTTCCTTCCTACCTTCCTTTCTTCTTTCCTCCCTTCCTTCTGCTTCTTCTTTCCTTTTCCCTCATCTTTTTCTTTCTGATCCAAGAATCAAACCCAGGGTTTTGTACAAGCTAGACATTCATTCTTCCACTGAAATACTTCTTTATAGAAACAAATATTTGATTTTTTCCCCCAAACCCTCTAAGGTTATACTCTAGAACAAAGAATCCAGGTTGAAAGTGAAAAGCAATTTGCTTTCTTCTTAAATGTCATTTCTTACTGCTTGTTTGTGGTTGAACAGCTATGTTTAAGATGTCACATGTTACAGTCTATTAAGGAATGAAGAAGGGCTTAATGAGCCACTAAAAGTTGTTAATTTCGTGCTATAGAGATGAGGAGCCAGCAAAGTGTCAAAAGAAAGATGTACCTGAAGAAGTGATTTTGAATAATTAACCCAGGAGGAACTTGCAAAATCATATGAAGATAAATCAAACCATTAAAAGAGTGGATTTTTTCTCTTTAAGTTCACATGCATTTACTATTCCCAAGCAAAGACTTGAGAGTGTACATTTTTTTAAGTTCTTAATGTAATCCTGATCCACACAGCTACTTGAGAGTTGTGGGGCCATCACTAAGTACTCAGCTGAGATGCAGTAGGTAGTATTAAATAACACCACGAATCAGAACAATGAACTCCTTAGCCGGTGTGATTGGGCCACATGTAGCTGAGTGTCAATTTGTCAATGATCATATTGTTTAAACAGCAATCCAGTCAGGCCCAAATTTTGTTTCTATTTATCCTTTTTAAAAAAAACTTCACAATTTAAGTAGTTCTTTTATGACTTTATATATCCTTAACATAAAACTTACTGATTAAAGGACTGAGTCTTTAGTTTTTCTAATTTAAAGATCCAGAAGTGCTGTTTTCCAAATGTAGGTTAGCTGATCATTCTAAACAGTATATTCTTCAAACGTTTATCAGGCAGAAAATACATGTAAACGGGGGATGTATTAAAAATGAGCAAGAACACCCAGGTATTTAAAAATCTAAGGTGATCCAAAAAAAAAAAAAAAAAAACAAGGCTTAAGCAGGATGCTAGTGACTCACGCCTGTAACTAGCTACTCAGAAGGCTGAGATCTGAGGATCACAGTTCAAAGCCAGCCCAGGCAGGAACTTCAAATGATGTAGTAGCTCAAGTGGTAGAGCTCAGGGACAGCACCCAGGCCCAGAATTAAAGCCTCAGGATCGGCAAAAACAAACAACGGAAAACCCAAAGCTTAACCCTTGTATATATGAGTGGACCAAGAAAATGCTGTACATCTACAATGGAATCTGGCTCATCTATCAGAAAACATAACATTACATCATCTGCAGGGAAATGGTTGGACCTAGAAATGATGTTAAATATATCTGGCTCAGCGAGACCAACGGCAATGAAGCTAGATGTAAAACACAAACATGGACGATGCTATCTAGAGGGCTCTGTATAAACAGACTGACTAAAGAATGGTATAGCTCACAGAGAAGTACAATGGTGTCATGCCTCTGAACAACTAACCAACTATTTACCAAAGGGAGTGTCAGGAAGCCAAACCGTATTTGAGACCAAGAATGGCAACCATCCGTGAGGTACAGGAAGGGAGGGAGGAAGCGTGGGAAAATGTAGTCATTGTCTTCAATGGGCATGATGGGAAAACTGAATGACATAAGCTGAAGGTAAAGATGAGTGGAGAAAAACTGAGGGAGAAGGATGGATACTCAGAGCCTGACTTATGGAATCGAAACTATATGGCGCAACCCAGTTAATAATTAAAAGTATCCCCCAAAGCCAAATATATATATATATATATATATTTCCAGCAATTTCTTTCTTGCTTCATTCCCTGTCCTGCACCTTATTCTCTGCTTTGTTTGCTTCGGATCAGTGTACCTCAAGTATACCAAGACCTGACTGAATGCCACCGCTTGCCAGCCAGCACTGTGACCATTCTTGTGCTGTGGGCTGTTCTGTGTGTGTAATGCCACAGCAGTGTTCTGTTCTGGGCAATGACAACTACAGTTACTCTGAGTTCATCTGTGGGGGTGGCTTCTTTAGTCCCAACCCATAGGCTCCTTGTGACCCACCCACGCCTTCCACCCCCCCTCACCACCCCAGGGCCCACGGGCAGCCCAGCATTGATAGACTTGGAAGCCTCCGAGGGATGAAGAAGGGGGAAGGGGAGGAGAACTAGGTGTAAGATGGTCCAGGGACTGAGCAGAAGGAAATCCAAGTGATGATCCTGCATAGCGGCCCTAGCTTACCCTGTGTGGCTGGCGGGAGGAGCTGAGTTCTAGAGAGTTGAGCTAAGGGAAAATCTATCCTTGTGGCCCCAAGACAAACCTTCCCTCCACGCCTTCAGTTCCCTTCACTGTTCACTGCTCCCCTGCCTCGGGTCCTGGGCCTCTACTCTCCTCTTCTTCTTCCTCTCCTCCCCTTTCCTCTCCACTTCTTCTTCCCCTTTCCTCCCTCCCCCTCCTCCCCTCTCTTTCCCTCCCCTCCCCTCCCCTGCCTTCCTCTCTCCTCTCCTCCCCTTCCTTCCCCTCCCCTCTTTTCCCCTCCCTTATGCTCCCCTCCTTTCTCCTCTTCTTCCTCTCCTCCCCTCTCCTCTCTACTACTTCTTCCCCTCCCCTGTCCTCCCCTCTCCTCTCCTCTTCTTCCTCTCCTCCCCTCTCCACTTCTTCTTCTTCCCCTCCCCTCCCCTCCTCTTCTTTCTTCTCCTCCCTCCTCTCCCTTCTCTCTTTCTTTCCCTTCCTTTCCCCACGTCCTTACAGCTCTCACCACTTCCCCTCTGCTCGCTCCTGCTCATCCCTTGAGCTCCTTGGCAGAGAACTGAGCCCATATATTCTCTCCTCTCCCTAGTTAGTAACTAGGATTCCCAGCGTACAAGCTCCATACACCACCGCAGAAGAGGGCTCCGATTGTCTAGACAGAAATAGTCATCTGGCGTCGGCGTAGATCTGCTTCTAGCTGTGGCACCGAGGGCATGGGAAAGGCAGGAGAGGAAAGGCCCACCTGGCCCGTGAGCTGGTGTTCCCTCCTCTACGCCCACAAGTGCTTTGGGCCCAAACCTCACCGGGATTCCAGAAGCGAATTAAATCCTGCCTGGAAGAAGGCGGCATCACTCTGTGATGATTGTGGCACCCGTCACTCTCTCTGAAGCTGGCCAGGGTCTCCATGTCTCTGGGGAGGGTCTTCCTGATCAGCACTAGATGTGGAATGGGCAAACTGGGCCCAGGTCCAGCCCTGGACGCTGCTTTCCCAGTTACCTCTAGCTGGCAGTGCGTGGCTCTGCTCTGAGAAGAAACACGGCCGCTGTCCCCTGGGCTGATGGTCAGTGTTAAATGCTCAGTCCACGTAGGCACCAGACAATGAGAGAAGGAGTTCAGTGCTCCCATTACAATGCTGCGGCTAAGGGTCCTCTCTGGGGCTCTTGGCTGGGGCGCATGGGGGCCATCTTGGCCTCTTGGGGCCAGGAGACACACATATACATTCATCAGGTCACACAGGCGCTTGATTTCAAATGGGCCCAGAATGTCCCCACGGCTGGACAGCTAGCAGGGAGAGGACCCCAGCTCTCCACCACGACCCAGGGACATTTCCGGTCTCCTTGGCCTCATCCGCTTTGAGTCCCTCTGTTTCTCTCTGCCCCTGCAGGTGTGTACACCTTTCTGTCCAGCACCCTGAAGTCTCTGGAAGAGAAGGACCATATCCACCGGGTCCTGGACAAGATCACAGACACCTTGATCCACCTGATGGCCAAAGCGGGCCTGACACTGCAGCAGCAGCACCGGCGGCTGGCCCAGCTCCTCCTCATCCTCTCCCACATCCGCCATATGAGGTAAGGGGCCCCCCGAGTCCCAACTACAGGAAGCTGCCTCCACTTACACGGCGGCAGACGAGCAAGGGCTGCCGTGCATACACCTAGCACCGTGGGATTCCTTCGTGACCCACCATACACGCTGGGGCTAGGGGAGGAGGACACAGAGGAAGGCGTTGAGTGTGCCCGGGCACCTGTCAGATTCCCCTTCCTGCAGGGGGCAGCTGTGGGTGTCTGCGGGCAGAGGCAAGTGTGAGGCGGGATGGGGGAAGTTGGCGGAAGTGTCCTGAGGCCAGGGCCAGGCTAGCCAGAAGGATGGGGTGAGATCGCTTCTGAGGAGGCTCCAAGCTGGAGTTCTGAAATCCAAATGGCACAAAGTCTGGCACCTCCAAGTCCTGGGACCCACCCTTCCTGAGACAGGCTAGCCAGATTGTTAAGCTTGTTGGGAAAACAAATGTACCTTTTTCCTTTACCTCCCAAGAGCGCTGTCTAGGATTGCCACACAGGGTATGCTCGCAGCAGGATTCCTGGGTGAACGCATGAAGAAACGGGGACGTGACTCACTGAACATTTGACTCATGCCCTGTGCCTTTGAAATTCCTACGCAAAAGCGTCTTCTTGGCCAAGTTAGGGAGAAAGGGATGGCAATCACAGTCCTCAGGGACTCCCTGGGAGTCTTGGGAACAGACACAGGACTCAGCCTGCTGGGCACAGCAGATGACTGCATTCTGAGGAAAACATGTTCAATTCTTTCTTTTCTCTTACTCATCCTTCTTCTGGTGGCATGGGGTTTGAATTCAGGACCTTGTACTTGTAAGCCAGGTGCTGTACCACTTGAGCCACATCCCCAGTCCTTCTTTGTTTTACTTGATTTTTTTTTTTTGGTGTTTGCTTCCATCTGTCTCAGTCCATGATCCTCGTATTTCTGCCTCTTGAACAGCTGAAATTCCAGGTCTGTAGCAGTGACCTTGGAGAATCTATGCAAGCCCTATGTATGTTTATATTTGCGGAGGAAAAATCACTGACTTTTCTAACCTATGAACTCAGATCTAGTTAGTTAACATCAAGGATAGTTGCTATGTGTATCAGTCCTGGCTGATTTAATGGCAATATGGGAGGGCGGGGAGGGGGGGGGGAGGGGGGAGGGGGGAGGGAGGGGGCGGGGCTCAGTGGTGCAGGAACTTTTATCATTGAGGGAAGAACTAAGAAGTGGTTGCTGGGTTATTGGCAGCTCTGAGCATCTGCCCCCACCCCCATCTCCATCCTCCCCACCCCCCCCCTCCACCCTCCTCTTACACATGCATATCTACAAAATATTTTGGTGCCTCGTTATCTCAGCGTAAAACACAGAACTCTGTTTTGTCGAATTTGGCCTCTGCCATATGGTGTTTCTCCAAGAATTTAATTCCAGCCTTCATCCCCCTGGAAATGTGATTCATTAGGTTATTGGAGGAAGGGGACCATGGCAGATCTGGGGGGCATTCACTTTTAACAGCGTTTAAATTGAAAATGGGCAACACAAACAACATCATGCTTACACGTGTTCTTTAGGTTGGGTCGCAGGCCTGGATGGCTCCGATGCTGAATTCCGTGGCAGGATTCCAACCTGAGCTAACTCTTCCCCAACCACAATGTGAAGATATAGTGTTAGGACATAGTCAGTTCTGCCTCTTCATAATCCATATTTCTTTTGTTTTCTTCTCTTTTTCTTGTGGTGCTTGAACTCAAAGTCTAGATGCTACCCTCTGCCCAAGACTACCACTTGAATGACAGCTCTATTTCCAGCTTTTTACTAGTTAATTGGAACTAAGAGTCTCAGGGACTTTCCTGTCCAGGCTGGCTTCAAACCAGGATCCTCATGTCTCAGCCTCCTGAGTAGCTAGGATCACAGGTGTGAGCTGTCAATGCCGGGCTGTATTTCTTTTCAAAAGCACTTTCAAGTGAGCTCAGAGCTGTCATCCTCGCTCCTTTCCCTCTGCAGTATGTGGGACAGAGAAGAGTTACAACTGGTAAAAGGGCAGAGTGGGATTCTAGGGGGGAAAAGGGGAAATGGCACCTGCCTACAATCCCCTCCTCTACCAAGTTTTAGGTAGCATTTACAGTTCTAGGCTGTGGTAGAGGGCAGGTTGGGCTGACCCCTGACCCCTGTCCCTCTTGGAACTTGCACGGTGTGTGTGGTTGAGAAGAATAACACCTCAACACATAGAGTGAGTATGAGAGAGAGAGAGAGAGAGAGAGAGAGAGAGAGAGAGAGAGAGAGAGAGAGAGAGCGCAGCCAGGCTGATGTGAAAGGGGGCAGCTAAAATGGAGAGAGCTGGGCCAGGGCCACAGAGAGGAGAGATGGCTGGGGAGTTCACTTTTGAAGACTTGGGGGACATGCATACAGGAAGAGGAAACAGCCAAGGAATGCCCCCCTCCTAATTCTAGAAGGATCTTTGTTCCTTTAAGGGGCAGAGCAGAACCCAGTGCGGTCTACAGAGTTTACAGAGTATGAAGGGCAGGACACGTTTGTGAAGGGAGACGGAATGGGTCATTTGGACGTTGGACAATTGGGACAGAAATGTTTATTCTGGATTTGACAGGAAGTCATTGGGGAGTTTAAGCAAGGGAATTTCTTAAACTGCATTACCCATTTTAGATAGCTCACTCCTGAAGCAAGCTGGGTGCTGGTGGTTCACACCTGTGACCCTAGCTACTCAGGAGCCTGAGATCTGAGGCTGGAGGTTCAAATCTAGCCTAAGCAGGAAAGTCTGTGGGATTCTTATCTCCAATGAACCAGCCTTTAGTGATAAGGCTAAAGGAAATCACTCAGGTCCTGAGTTCAAGCTCCAGTACCTACCTGCATTCCCCTCCCCCTCCCCCAGAGTGCAGAATGCTGACTCCTGATTGGCTGTAAGTGGCAGGTTCTCGACTTAGCTGTAAGGATGGTGTCAAGGAACAGGGCTGAAAGCCAGGCTGTGGAAAGAAGGAAGCCAGGCTAGGAGTGGCTGGGGTGGGGAAGGTGTGTCTGTGAGCGTGGCCTGCCCTTGAGGGAGGGGAATTGAAGCTGCCTGGAGATGCATCCCAGACTGGGGCTCTGAAGACCCTTGACCTTCTGCAGATGCCATCCTCCAGGCAATCTTTCAGTAGAAAGAAGGCGTGGGTGACCAGGGTCTCGGGACCTTCTCTAACCAACCCTTGCTAAGAACGTCACAAGTCTTGGGAGCACAGCCAGGCTCTAACGTGGTCTTCTTTGTGTCCTCCCCTCCGCCAGTAACAAAGGCATGGAGCATTTGTACAGCATGAAGTGCAAGAACGTGGTGCCCCTGTACGATCTGCTCCTGGAGATGCTGGATGCCCACCGACTGCACGCCCCTGCCAGCCGCCAGGGGGTGGCCCCGGAGGAGCCCATGCAGAGCCAGCTGACCGCCAATGGCTCTGCTTCTGCACACTCCTTGCAAACATACTACATCTCCCAGGAGGCAGAGAGTTTCTCCAACACCATGTGAGAACTCCTGGGAGGCCCCCTCCCCAGGTTCTGAGAATCCCTGTCGCGTTTTACCCACGTCATGCATCACTTTCGCAGAAATTCTGTCTCCTGCATACACTCCGGCATGCATCTGCCACCCGTGGCTTTCTAGTATGAGTGGCCATTCATTTGCTTGCTCAGTTCTTAGTGACATGTCTTCTGTTGGGAACAGCCAAAGGGATTCCAGGGCTAACTCTTTGGTAACAGCTCTCTCCCCCTCTTTGCTACATGATTAAGAATGAGGATTCTTGTAGTGTGCTTCATGACTGAACTCAGCCTGTGAGATGTCTGTGGACTGAAGTTTACTAGTTGAGACCCACACCTGGAGAGTAGACATTTCACCTCCAATAAGCACTTTGTAATGGCTCCAAACTAAGCCTCAGGACAGAATTGAATGGCTCCTTTAATTGACACCATGGAGGAAGAAAGCTAGCTCCAGGCTTCCTCATGGGCATGTTGTATTCCTATGGTAACCTGTCACTTGTGAACACCATTAAGGGACACCTCGATCGTTTTCACTAAATGGCTTGGGTGTAGCAGCATGCTTGATGAACCCCGATTCATTTCTCCCCATAGGAATACAAGATGCACACAGGGAAGGAAGATCCCCTTATTCTCAAGACTATGTCGGCTTAATGCATTGCACCTTCTTGTCTTGCTGAAACCTACTGCTGGTTTTCCAGAGCACAGGGTTCCAGATCAGCTTGGCTTTCCACAGACCTGCAGGAAACAGCAAGTTGATTTCAGTTAAGGCATACAAACCAGTCTCTAAAAAAAAAAAACACTTTTTTTGGCTATTATTTTTATAAAAGAAAGCCTTTTTAGCTCCCAAGGACTTAGCAGTCAAAAACAGCTTCTGGACCTATTCCAGCGGGGCTTTGGCATTCACCACCAGAGGGCGCCCTACGTGGCTCTCCCAGCTATGACTTCACACTGCATTTTTCTCACATAGAGGGATGAAGGGCAGTTTCGATTGAGCGAGCACCTTAGTGATGCTTTCTGTTGTTATTGTTGTTTTGATTTTAGGCTTGGGGAGCGGGGTTAACTAGTAACTGGGTGTGATCCATTGTGGGCTGCTAGAGAACAAGAAGGAAAGTAGGGGAGAAACTGATCAAACCAGGCTGCAGTTTCCCAGGGGTGCACACCCCAGGCAGCACAATGCACAGAGGGCTTGCCCTGCGAGCAGCCGGTGGTCTGCCTCCCCTTCATTTCCCATGTGGCCCTGATGGTAGGAAACAGCAGAGGGCAGCTGCATTCTTCTAGTTGGCCTGGGACCCTGGGGGCTGGTCAGTGCTCCTCTAAAAATAAGCTGGTTTGGCCTTGGGAAGTTCTCCCCCCTCCCCCCGCCCCGACTTCTACTCCTTCTGCCCTTAAACTGCATAACCCAAGAGAATGAGACCAAAACTGGGCCACAAGAATCCTTTTCACAACAGCCACCCCACAAAAAATGAAAAAAGAAAAGCTTTCCTTAGCCACGGGGCCATTTTCCCTGGGCCTTTGCTTTTCTAGTACAATTCTGGGTGGTTTCATTTTCTGAACCCAAATGAAACTTTGATCTTCCCTGACTTCATAGACTACAGTTGCAACACTGCCGAGAGGCCACATAGTAGATGGCAGCCCAGGGAAAGGGCCAGGCTTCTAGCCGAGTTAGATCGCAGCCCTAGTGAGTGGCTAGGCTTCTAGATACATCGATACATCCTGTTTGGAGAGGTGAGTTCCACTAAGTGGCAGCCAATGAACTAGAATACTGGGGCCCCCAAATAAGTAAAGCTTTCTCTTTTTATTTTTTTCTCCATGCATGTACATCTAAATTTGGGGGGCAATTTTCTGTATCCTCATGAAGAATATGTTTTAAGAACACAATTCTTTCGTTGTTTGTTTTAAAAAGTACCTTATAAAGTATAATATATATTTTTTGAAATTGAATTGCTTGTTTATCGGACAATTGAATGTAATAATTCTGTACTGGATTTAATTTTGACTGGGTTGACATTGCAAAAACCAAGGGAAAATGTTGATTTTTTTTTGTATACTTTTCAAGCTACCTTGTAATGTACGCAGTTAGTTATTGATGCCTAAAGCCTGGTGATTATTCATTTCAATGAAGATCACATTTCATATTAACTTTTGTATCCACAGTAGACAAACTAGCACTAATCCACATGCCTATTGTTGGATATGGAATGACAGACAATCTTAATGTAGCAGAGATTATGCCTGAAAAGGAGAATTATTCAGGGCAGCTAATTTTGCTTTTACCAAAATATCAGTAGTAATATTTTTGGACAGTAGCTAATGGGTCAGTGGGTTCTTTTTAATGTTTATACTGAGATTTTTCTTTAAAAAAATAAAAACAAAATAAAACAAAAAAAAAAAACCTCTAGGACTATAGATGATGTAATACCAGCTAAATCCAAACAGTTATGTGGTAGAAGATTTTTACATGATTCATCTACTGTGTCTGTATTCTTGTTGAGATACTACTACATTTGAAACGGGCAGAGAACATTGGATGGTTGAACTGTGAGCCCTTGAGTTTCAAGCAACTTTGGAAGTCTCTTTTTAATTCTTATTTGAAGTGCCAATAATGAGTAGCTGACATTTCCCAGCTGATGTTGGTGCAGGGCAGAGGGGACATGTGGAGAAATTGTGCTTTCTTCCCACTTTGAGGAAATTTAAGGTCTGAAAGGTATTGAACTACCTGCAGGTGCAGGGTAGGGTAAGGAAAAGGTCTTGGGAATTTGAAGAATGGGGAAAACAAGAGACTAAGAGCATTGACAGTCCTCTGACTCCTGGAGGGGATGCTGGGGGCTGCTCTTCTGTTTCTGCCCTGTAATCTGAAACTAACTAGTCATTTTCAATATGGCTGCTTGAGTTTGTGGGCAGAGTACGGCATCAGCAGCTAAATCCAAAGAATAATGAGAGGTCAAGTGTCTTTCAGCCATCTCCGAGCTTGCTGTCATGATTCTGCGATGCTATCTTACAGCAATGAGTGAGACACCCCAAGAGAAGACCCTATTGGTATCAGCCACAAAATCTCATCCATCCTGAAGGAAGTGCAATCACTGAGAGATGTCCATGATTGCAAATGTTTCCCCATGCCCTATTCCAGGCCTTGTGGGGGCTGAACAAATAAATGACTTTCTGATTTACTTTTAATCCTATTAAGGTGTTCGCACTTTGAAATGGCCATTGATTTAGACTGTTGGCTTAGAGTCCCTTACTCCTCAAGGAGGCCAATTGCAAATCCCTTCCTTGAATACTTTCCAACCTGGAGACAGGCTGTGGATACTGGGAACTCTCACCAGCCCATCGTGATGTCTGAGATTCACAGGCAGGTCTGTGTGGGGACAGCGGCTCTGTGAAAGGCAAATGGAGTCATGCAGTAGCTCAGAAGGAAACCACGATCCTTTTTTGGTGCAAGTCTTGGGAGGTTGATCCAGATTGGGCTGTAAACCTCCCAGCTTCACCCCTTGAGAAGGAACTCCCTCTCAGACAAATGAGCTCAACTGTGGTCCCAGATATCCCACCTTCTCATCCGTGTGATTCTGCTGTTTTCTAGCTGTCTTTCCTTTCCACTGAAATCAAATTGTGGTCCCTTTTGAAATCACTTTAAATTGTTTGCTAAGTAATTGCTGCATCTAGTACAGCATTCGATTTTTGCACTGTCTTTCAGAGACACAAGAAAAATTTCTATTCTTTTTTTTTTTTTGCATCCAAATGTGCCTGAACTTTTTAAATACGTAAATGCTGCCATGATCCAACCCCATCTTCAGTGTGTGTGTGTGTGAGTGTGCGTGTGTGTGCGCGTGTGTGTATGTATATGTGTATACAGAGCTGTGCACCCTGGAAATAACATACAGTCCCATGAACAGGTGCCTAAGACATGGACCCCTTTGTGTTTGCAGAGAGGTCATTGGTCATAGAGACTTGAATTAATAAGTGACATTATGCCAGTTTCTGTCTTCTCACTGCTTATCCACAATGCTTTGTGTGCACTACATACTCTTCAGTGTAGAGCTCTTGTTTTATGGGAAAAGGCTGAAATGCCCCATTGTGTTTGACGGACGAATACACTCGCCTGCTGATGCATTCATACAATTACTGATGTGATCCTGTTTTGGTCTTAGCTTTGCTTTGTTTAATGAAACACACTTGTAAACCTCTTTTGCACCTTGAAAAAGAATCCAGCAGGATGCTTAAGCACCTGTAAACCATTTTTTTCTCAACCTATTTGATGTTCAAATAAAGAAGTAAACTAAAGACAAAGGGTTTGAGTTGTCTGTTTTCCATTCTACTTCTTGCCAATCACTTATTACTGATCTTATGAAAATGAAGCCAGGCACTGGTGGCTTTTTGCCTGTGATTCTAGCTACTCAGGATGCTGAAGTTTGAGGATCAAGGTTTGAAGCCAGCCTGGGAAGAAAAGTGTGTGAGACTCCTATCTCCAATGAACCAGCAAAATGCCAGAAATAGAGTTGTGGCTCAAGTGGTAGAGTGTCAACTTTGAGAACATAGTGCCTTGAGTTCAAGCCCAGGTAACTGCATCAAAAGTATGCATATAAAAATGAAGTGACCTGTCCTTTGGCAGGAGTGGAATATTAAGATCTCCCACTATTACTGTGTTGGAGTCTATCATGTTCTGTAAGTCCAGTACTCCATTGTTCAGTGCATAAATATTGACCACTGTGATTTCCTCTTCATGGTTCATCCCCTTTATTAATATGTAATGACCTTTCTTGTCTCTTGGTACTGATTTTAATGAAAAATATACTTGTTGAAATGCCAATATGGCCATGCCTACCTCTTTGCATGAAAGATCTTTTTCCATCCCTTCATTCCAAATTTTTTTTTTTGTGAGATGGGTCTCTTATAGACAACTGATGGATGGATCTTGGTTTTTCATCCAGTCTGCTGCTGGACTTCTTTTGAGTCCATTAATGTTTAGGGTTACTGTGGAGAGATATGTCTCCTGCCATTTTCTTGATTTCTTGTATTTTGCTTCTTTTCTCTTCTTATGCTTACTAAACTAGTCTTCTAGTGATTGTTGTCTAATGTGTTTTCTTGACTTTGTTTTCTTCAAATACTTACTTCCCTTTCTTATTCTTTGTAATGCTCATAGTGTTCATGGATTCCTTTCATCTTTGTCATGGAAGATTTTAGTTTCACTGTCCATTGTGAACAATAGCGTTGCTGGGTATGCCAGTTTGGGTTGACGGTTGTAGATCTTCATGACCTGAGTTATACCATTCCAGGCGCTCCTTGTTTTTGTGGAGATATCTGCAGTGATTCTGATCTTCTTTTCGCTATATTATAGCTCTCTGAACATCATGAACCAGGATACAATAAAGATACCTGCACAACCATGTTCATTGCTGCACTATTCACAATAGCTGAGATATGGAAACAGCTTAGATGCTCCACAATAGACAAGTGGATCCAAAAAAACACGGTACCTATACATGATAGAATTTTACACAGGTGTATATACATGGCTATAGCACAATACATGAGGCTAGGTAGCTCATAAAGAAAGGAGATTTTCAAACCACATGGTAATCCAAACCACATGGTAACAGCAGGGCAGATGGCTTCACAATAGCGGCGTGAGAGGAGTCACAGGGGAGAAGGGAAGCCAGACAACAGGGAGAAGCCAGTTCCATTCTGGCCCAACAACCTTCCCTCAAAAGAACCAACTTGGAGTCCATGAGAAATACATTCACCACTTACAAGGGCGACACCCCCAATGACCTAATTGCCTTGCACTAAGCCCCACCCTTAAATCTTGCACTGCTTCACCACAGGAGGAACAGGCTTTCAGAATGCAAATCCCTTGTGAGTTGTACGCAGACCTGGTCCAAACCACACCAGAAAAAGAGAGTCAACAGGGTCATCCACCTGGACGGCTTGCTGCGCAGGCTTATTCCTGGAGGGCACCTACGGGGACAGTGGTTGGAGAAGGTGGTCCTTTCCTAGCTGATGGACGGTCTTTGAATAGGAGAGTTTGAGCAGCCCTGCTGCTACTACCATCCCTGGCACTTGGTGGGCCCCTCGGCCCTTGTTTACTGGGGTCCACAAGGCACTTGCCCATCCTTGCCTCCTGCATGCATTCTGGCCAATGAATGGCCAAGTCGAAGCCTGGGACGGACGATGGCACTGTCAGCAGCAAGGCCTAGTTCAGAGTCGGCTGCTACCCAGGCCACACCCAGAGGCCATCTCCTCCTATTTCTTGGCTGGGGACAGGACCATGGCCACGGCTGAGACACTGGCCTTCCATATGGTGCTGATTAACGTGTTCATCCTGATGAGATGAGGAAAGGAAACTAGGAGGAAAGCAGCACGTGGGCAACATTAGAAAGAGTGCTATGAAGGGAGGTGGGGTGATCTGAGTAGCTTGGCCAGCAGGGGAGCAGAGCAAGCGCTGGCTAGTGGCTGATGCTCGATCGTTTGCCAGTTAGCATCTTGGGAAGGGTTGGGGGGATCGTGTACAGCTGGCTGACACCGGACCTCTCCGCACCCCCACACCCCATCATCAGCGGCCTCTTCTCTGAGAAGGCGGTAACTGTGGGAGCAGCTAGAGGAAGGCGCTGCACATTGGTTAAACATTTTTATTGGGCAGATTAAGCCTTCGAGTTCACCCCAGGAGGAAAGGAGTTGAAGCTGTAAAGATTTCTGAGTGTTTCCACATTTATTACCAGAAAGAACATGTTTTAATCCTCAGGGCCGCAGACCACAGGCCGAGGGGAGGAGAGAGGGTCATGGGAGTCCAGGCGGCCACCAGGGCATGTCACTGCCTGTAGAGTGGCCGGGTAGGCGTCACGCTCTTCCTGCTGAGACACCAGGGGTGTGGCCGGGTTCTGAGGCTCATCCATCACACGGGAAGCATGTCCTTTAAGGAAAGGGAAGGACTGAGCGTGCCAACATGAAGCTTCTAGAATGGATCACACGGGAGAATCAAGGATTCGCTAACTCATAACACTTGGCCATCCACAAGTGTTTCAGATGGAGATTTTCAGATGATTTGTCTATGTGCCTCAATGTCACAACTGAACATCCCTAAGCCAAGAAATGCACAAAACAAGGTTTGGGTTTTGGAGGGCTTTAAGGTTTCAGCTTTTCAGACTAGGGCTGCTTTCTGCTGTACGCTGAAAAGCATTAAGCAGGGATTAGAGACGTGGCTCAGGTGATTGAGCTCTAGCCAATGAGCGAAAGCATCACGTACCTGGTTCTGTTCTCTCCTCCAAAAAATAAAAAGAAAAGCATTGAGCGGGTTTATGGAGCGATGAGGAGCTTGGGTAAAACAGCAACTGAAGGATCCTGAACTCTAAGTGAGCAAGGTTCCCATGGGTCAGCCTCTGCTGCGGTCACACACTTCCTGTGCTCCTCTGTTGCTTCCTCCTTCCTTCCTTCCTTCCTTCCTTCCTTCTTTCTTTCTTTCCTTCCTTCTTCTTTCTTCTTTTCTTCCTTTCTTTCCTTTTTCTTTCTTCTTCTCCTCCCCCCTTCCCTCCCTCTTTCCTTCCTTCTTTTTTCTCTTTCCAAAAAGCATGATTATATGTGAGATGATTATCTTGATTGCCACTTAATTACCTGAGCGGTACCAATGCCCTTCTGGGAGTGTCTCTGAGGTGTGTGCAGAGACAAATGATTGACTTGTCAGGCAGCAGACTTCTGAGGGTAGACCCGCCTGGAAAGTGGGGACTGTGATTGCCTCTAGAAGTGTTCAGTTGGACCATTTTTGTAGTCTAGCAAACCGTTTACATAGGCGTTAATAAAGGCACTTCTTTTCTTTTCTGAAATGGAAGACACTTTTTTTTTCTCTCTGATATGGGTTCTTAAGATAGATTTGGTTTTTTATTGGCTTACACAACTTTTACAAGAAGCGGACTCCATTGTTACATATTCATATATAATTACAATGTATTCAAATCAATTTCACCCTATTATTATTCTTCTCACCTTGCCCCCCCCAAATTTCAACAGGCTTTATTCTCTTTTCATAGTTGCAAACAATCTATTCTCAATCATATTCTTCCTCTTTCACCCTCCTTGTTTAACCCAACCCCCTCCTGCCAGTAGGGGCCCCTGACTGCGTCTCCTTCTCCACCTCCCACCCCCCTTTTGGTCAAGAGCTTTCATTGAGGTTCTTTAAATGGTCTGCACCTAAAAGCATAATCCTACACCCTGTCAAACTTAAGTAATAACATCGTTTACGTTCTCCCAGTATGATTTGTCACAGGATCAAGCTTAGTATCCCATCTATCTTTCCAAACTTCCTTCTAGACTTATTATTATCTCTATTATCTATCTATCTGTCATCGATTTCTATCTACCACCTACCAACTATCTGTATCTGTCATCTATTTATCTATATCTATCATCTACCAATTTATATCTACCTATCTCTCTGGTGTTCTTTTTACAAAAGTGAGATCATATTGTATCAAGTCTTCTATATCTTGTATTTTAAATTTAAGGATATATACCAAGCATCTTCTTTCATCAATGCATGTAGAATGATCCCATTTAGAAATAATTGTATGATAGGAAATGCTAAGTATGGACCACAGTGTACTCAACTCTCTCCCTTCTGATCAGCACATGCTTAAAAAATTAAAATCAAAGGAGGCCTCTGTGTCTTTCTCTTGTTTGGTTTGGGAACAATTGTCTGTTCTTCTGGAAAATGACAAAGTAATTTGAAATTCTAATCTCCAATGACCAGGGTTGAGGTGTGCCCTCATAATTTTTTAAAGTTCCTTGAAAGATTAAAATCTGCACAATTAAAACGTGCAAACGTTGGGAATGAGTCTATAGTAGGAGATGATTGTCTAGACTTCAGGAAGTCATGAGGAACACCTCCACCATGGAGAGCCCTGAGCCTCACAGCTTGTTCAGGGAGATAATGGTGGCACACATGTAAAAGTGCTAAAGAAAGAAACCATGCGTTGGGAACATCTTCTCCATTGAACAGTGGGTGCACCCTGACCAATGCATCTTAGAAAAGGAAAACAGTGTTGAACAAAGGCCTATACATCCATGCAAGAGTGTGAGTATAGCTTTATTTAATAGGAAACAGCTAGAAGAAAATAACTGATGCAAAAAACATGCTGATTGGTTTCCATGAGCTCAATATCCTTTCAGTCCTTTCCTGTGGTGACAATATGCAGGGGTAGAAAAATAACTAGTGGAGGAGAGGAGGAATGGAGGAATGGATCAAAAGATGCCAAGTAACCAAAATGCAAGCAGGGAAGTTCAGCGATTTGATG